GGGCATATGTTGAGGAGACCATCGAATGACATCGCGCTTAATGCAGGCCATAGTTCGAGTGGAGATACAATGGGATGTGATGAGTGGATCGTCGTTGTGAGGGTGACATGGAGGAGATTGTTCTTGGAGGAGGAGATGAGAGATTATGGGCAATCGTGTGCCCAGGCAGAAAATAGAAGGCAGTGGAGATATGTTGTTGAAGCCTTGCATTCCACTCGGAACCCTAGGGAATAATAATAACAATAAACCTGTAAACAGTATCCCGGCCACAGACGCACTCCTTTACCTCACTGAGCCAGAAATAACGCTGGTGAAGAGAAAAGGTTGGGCATGAGGCTATCAATCCCATCCTGTGAAATAAACACTGCTACAGAAACTTCAAGCCAATAGGTTGAGGCCCTGTGTTCCACTGGGGACAAGGAAGGACAAAAGAAGAAGAAAGAAACAGTCACATTTATAAAGTTACTTAATAGAAGTCATTTCCAGTCACCTAGTCTTAAACGCATCCTGCAAACCAACTCATAACGCCTACCACTAAATCCCTATACGACACAACATTATGTCACTCGAATGAATAGAGCATTTTTACACTTTAGCGGTAGATTAGGTTTAGTATGTAAGACAAATAACTATATTGGTTATTATCTCCAGATATAATTAACTCAATATATAAATTCGGGTCGACTGTTTTACTCAGCCCAGTAGGATCTGAGTTCATTAGGTTGAGTTATGGTGACACAACTGTCAACTTGAAGAATTATTCAAAATTACCTGCAAATGTGATATTTTTTGTTTTGTCTTTTGTGATTTATCTTGTATGTCAGATTCACAGTGTAGAATTGTACTCACTTAATATTATTCTACAAGTAAAATCGTTTGGCATTGATTTAGTCATCTTTATTATAGTAGTCTTAGCATTCTGAATAATAATTAGTTTATAGTTTGCTAATCAATTCAGTATACATATATATGTAAATTGAAAATAAACTTTAAGAGATGAGAAACAAGTATTCTGTTGATGAAATGGCTTTATGTAAGTGTTAGGGGCGTAACAAGAGCAAATAGTTAGAGCAAATAGCATATGATAAAAGTCATTAGTTCGTCCTATTAAAAAGGTAAAAGAAAAATGAATGAATATCGTTCAGTTAGAAGAAACGTCTGCTTGTTCAACTAGATTTATTTTGTCAACACTGTAGTGAAATAATTTTCGGATTTGCAAGTCCCTTAACTATTTACATCAGTTGTATTCTTGTCAGAAGAAGCAGGGAAGGCAGGTCTTTAAGTAAACACAGAGAAGTTAGAGGAAATGAAGATATCTCAACGACTAACACCAATGAGCACCAATTAACATTAGTGGTAGAAAACTTAAGGTAGTTACCTATTTAACAATATCTGGACAGCACCGTTCCGACTACAGACGACACATATGACAGTATTAAAGCCAACCAGGGTCGGAAAAGTAATACAGTACCTAAGAGACCAATATTCCACACTGTTTTGGTTCCAAAAGATTCTAGAAACTCCATTAAGTGTTTCCTAAGATTCCATGAAAGTTCTTGGAAAATATGCATCTTAAATCTCTGTTTACGTCAATCGGTTGTAACTGTACGTAATCAGTGTCATAAATATAGACCTTAGTATTAGTGCTAGACTAGCAAACATCACCGCACTACAGGAGGTCAGCCACAGACTTCAATAGATAAAGTGGAAATGCCCCTGACTGCAGCATTGGCTGATGTGGCTTCAAATCTCACAGGAGATATTAGTCCATTTAAGGTTGCAGATATGTCCTGCCCAAAAGGCATCAACAAGGACGAAACCTAAATACAGAGATTCCGGCAAAATGCTCTCAACCATCTAATAAATCTCTTTTGCATCGAAAGAGTTTAATTTTATTATATTATTATTAATCCGTGGGTTCCAAGTGTAACACAGATCTTCAACAGCACATTTCTATTTCACTCTGTTCCATGTAGTCGTTTCTAACTGTCTCCCCTATTGCCCACAAACTTTCATTTACTCATCAAACGGTCTCCTCCGTGTCATCCTCACACATACATCCAACTTGCCGTCTCCCGTTCGGGTTCCAATCGACGTCCTGCCTGGGATGTGACATCACCTAATGGGTCTCCGAGAGTATATCTAATCCATCTCCATATTCTTCAGCACATTTGTCGGATGACAGGTTCTTGGTTTGTTTGTTTTCAGAGTTCCTTGTTGTTTACCCTTTCCAGCTGGCGATTTAGTATACAGTATTGAGCAGAGAGAGTCGTTGGTGAAAGTCTGCAGGCTGTTGGAAACGATTTTTAATGATGCACACTCCAAGTCTCTGAAGTATATAAAAGAACTCACTGACTTGACATTATTGCTGAAAATCTGAATCCTGTTCTTTATTGATTATTTGTGCTTCTGAGCAAAATATATCTGCAACTCTAAATTGACTAATATCTCCTATGAGATTTGAAGCCACATCAGCCAATGTTGCAGTCAGGGGCATATCCGCTTTATCTTTTGAAGTTTGTGGTTGACCTCCTGTAGTGCGGTGATGTTTGCTAGTCTAGCACGAACACTGAGGACTAGATGTATGACACTGGTTACATACAGTTACAACCAATTGACGTAAACAGAGATTTATTATTATTAATATATCCTTTAATTCCTAGAGGAACATAGGGCTTCAGCCGTGCGTCTCCATTGAGTTCAGTTCTCTGCTAAAGTCTTCACCTGGCTCCATGTCTGCCCACACGCTTTCATCTCCTCTTCACACGACCTCCTCCAAGTCACCCTCACGCTGACGACCAACTCGCCGCTTCCCCTTCGGGTTCCACTCGAGTGATGGCTTGTCTAGGGATGTCACTTGATGGTTTCCTCAGAGTATGGCCGATCCATCTCCATTTCTTCTTGCTTATTTGTTTCACAGTCGGTTCTTGGTTGGTTCACTCCCAGAGATCCCTGTTGCCGATCTTTTCTGGCCACCTGATCTTGAGTACTGAGCAAAGACAGCTGTTGATGAAGGTCTGTAGTTTGTTTGAGATGCTCTTTATGACGCGCAGTGCAAGTCTCTGATCCGTATAGCAGCACTGACTTCACATTGGAGTTGAAAATCTGGATGTTATTTTTCATGCTGAGTGCTGTTGACCTCCACACAGACTTGAGAGTAGTGAAAGCTTGTCTTGCTTTCCCGATCCTTGCTTTGATATCCTCGTCAGTTCCGCCTGAAGTTGAGACGATGCTTCCCAGGCAGGTAAAAGAGAAACAGAGATTTAAGATGCATACTTTCCAAGAACTTTCATGAAATCTTAGGAAATACTTGATGGGGTTTCCAGAATCTTTTGGAACCCAAACAGAGTGGAATATTGGTGTCTAAGGTATTGTTTTTTTTAAAACGTTTCACCTAGTTTGAAAAAATATATCAGGTAAAAATTTGAGATACAGTCGACATTCGTCCTGCACCAAATCTCATATATGGAGACATCTTTAACAATAATTTCGTATGACTGCGGCTTATGTTTTGTATAGTGTTTCCTTAGAAATGTCCATTCTCTTTCACGCTTAAGGTTGAAATCACTATACCGGAGTCTTGCAGTATTTTTTGGATTTTCTGTACACGTCATTGTCTTGGCTGTGGTTATCCTACAGGTATACAGCGTTCACAGACCTTTAAGTTTTCTTTGAATATTATTCATGACAGCTAATGAAAATTGATGGTTTATCACAGTTTAATTAGAAGTAAACATATTAATTACATGAATAAATTTGACTGAATGCAAGAGAATAACAGTGTTCCGTGGGATTGTCGTGGGATTGCAATAAACAGTCATTTAACGTAAAACCACTTGTACATAAAAAGAGTGGACTAGGTCATTCCTAGAACCAAATTTTATCGTTAAATACTGAAGACAGAGACTGGTAAGTAGATAACCAATTTTTTCAGTGATGAGATAAGTGAACATCAATGTTCACTTACAGTAGGAATAAAATTTTATCTTTATTTATACAAATTGTTACAGCGATGTTAAATAGCTGGAAGCAGTCATCAGGAAGCCCTTAACCAACATCAAGGACTAGACGCATAACACTGGTTACTCCCTAGTGACCAATCAATGTACCCATTACACTCCTACAGGATTGTTGGTTGTGTGATTGTGTGAGGGCTGAGATACTGTCCGGGCGCTCAGACCGAAACAGGTGGTTGTCTTAAGGGACCACCCCCCGAGCCTTTTACTTAAAATCCAATCCGCAAGGCAGTGGAGTAACGTCAGGAGCTGCGTTCCCTTGGTTGCCGGTAACCAATACAGGTTCATTTGATCTGATTGGATTCTGTAGCCCATGTACCCCATACTAACTGATTTTAGTCTAACCGCTATCCAAACAACCTTCCTGACATAGTAGGACTCGCAGGAACATGAGTCCCAGCCAGTTTATCTTGTTGGGTCACTGCGGTGTTCAAGCTAGGCCCCCACGACAAGGTAGCAGTTGTCAGCCGGGACAGTCCTACAGGAGGTCACTCATGAACCCGAATAGCTCGGTCTCTGACTGCAGTACCGGACAAAGCTGATTTGAATCCCAAGGGGGGCATGAATTCCTCCAAGGTTGTAAATATTCATTAGTAACTGGTACGTATCATCAGGTCGGAAAGCTAGGTCAAGGGTTTCCTACCAATCGACTTCAACCATCTAACATCTATTCAAAATGCACTGCAATGGCCAGCCGACTACCTTAGTGACAATACTACAAACTCCACTGACAGAATTCAATCTTCATCAACACCAAGAATTGAACCGAGGCACTGGTTACGCCCTAGTGACCAACCAATAAATATTATTACATTCGAAGGTCATTTTCAGAAAAAATCAATTGCTGTGACTCAGAGGCTTCCTATAGTGTTTAACCTTTGCTAGTTTAGCGTTTACCATTGCTGATACTCAAACTCATACTAAGATTAAAACTAAAAGCCTTAGATTTTCACCATTAATAACAAAAAATGAATATGAACTTACCGAATAAAAACTTTTCTCCTCACGATCCAAAACTTTTTTCGTCCGAATAACATACTGTTTATAAGTGGAATGAATACCGATTGTTTCACTGAATAAACTGAATGGTTGTTGATTTTGTTGCTGTGTTAAAAAGTTGATTCCACCAGTCTCTTCAAATGAAAATGTGTCATCTTCTTTAATTAAATGACACCGAATTTGTTCTGTTGGTGAATCGTCATCAGTGACATGAACTAAAGCGACTATAGCTCTCTGTGGTGTTTCAACTTCAGGCAGTGAAATACGTCCATCTGACAGTCTTTTACCATTGTTTAAAAATACAATTTTCGGGGGATTGTCATTGATATTTATAATATTTATTTGTATTTCACAACGGGAATTCAATACCGGTTGACCATGATCACTGGCAATCAGATGAAATCTTAATTGTGTCTGATGCTTTTCAGCATCCAATGGACCAATCACTTGTAAGGAACCTTTATAATGACTTGTTGCCGGTGTATTCATTTGTTGGGAATGTGAACTCATAAATCCAGGATGAGTGTACATTTTCGAATTAGGATTTTGACTTGGTTGCAAGGCAATACGAAAAAGTTGTTGAGCTTGTCCAGAAGGATCATCTATAATTATAGTGACTCGGCCATTATCGCCGATATCTCGATCGACTAAATTAAATTCGATGATTGGCGAATTCACTGAGTTCTCTGCTACTTCAGCACGATATGTACTTTGTTCAAATGTTGGAGAATTGTCATTAACATCTGAGATTTTTATTATGATACTAACAGATCCAGTAAGCGGCTTATTAGTGCTACCAGGTAGATTATTGTTATTATTATTATTGTGATTATTACCGCCCCCATCTATGGCGATCAGTGTGAATGAGTAAAGATCAATGGCTTCACGGTCCAACTCTTCAGTTATCGTTAAATAAGGTCTGCCTAATTCACTGTTTGTATGCCTTTCACCTGTAAATTTATTCATCACTTCCCCGCTCAAATCATCATCCATATCGTTGGAATCTGAAACGCCTAAATGAAAATGACTTTGATTACCATGGACCCAATTCACTGCACGGTATTCAGCAATACTGAATTGAACACTATCCGCATCGAATGCTTGTGGTAGCCATATTTTCTCATGTGACTTAATATCTTCTCTAACTACAATGTATGGTGTATGCAGTGGCGGAAATCTAGGCGGATTGTCATTTACATCCTGTACAGCGACTTGTATGTAAAAAGGTGTCGGCAATTCCGTGGGACTTGTGATTATATTAACGTGTAAAAGTTGACAACAAGCTCCAGGAAGACATACTTGATGCGTATTACTACTATAAGATGTCACTTTTGTCTCCATACGACTCGAGGGATGTCTCAGTGATTCTGTTTGTATAAGACAAATCATTTCACGATCAAGTGGTTTAGCTAATTTAACTAGAAATTCATCTAGTATAAATGGCCAAAATGTCTCCTGTTGATTTGCGAATGCTGTTATATTATTGGTTGATTTCGGGGAGGACGAGGATGATGATGAGGGCGATGAAGATAGGGCACCAGTGAAGTGTCGTTCTAACACTGGTCTTAAATCAAATATCACAGTATTCAGGGGAATATTTTCTTGTACAGTTACACGTTCAAATAACTGGCATACGCCAAATTTAAACAACATTACTAGTATATACATAAAGGGTTCATTAATTTTGAATAGATTACGTAATCGAAATGCAATCATTGCTGTTTTTTCTTACAAAAATAAACGATGAAATTCAGTAATGTAGTCCTGTATTGTGTAGACTGTATTTATTATCGATTTTTTAAAATGAAACTTCCTATTCATTCAGAAGCAAGTCATTTATGTGAGTCAGATTCATATGAAGATTTGGATGGAGGATCATGCGGTTGGGTATGTCATCTGAAAGGAAGCAAAAAAATAATAATTACGATCGACAAATTTTTAAGCAGTAATTTAATAACTTGAGACATATATTAGCTAGTTGGAGGCAATCGGAAGGAAGCCTTGAACCTAAATTTCGTGCTAGACGGCATTCACTACAAAACCTTGACTGATAGAATTGAGTCTGCATTAAAGATAGGACTAGACACGTTACACTAGTTACTGACTAGTGTCCAAACAAAAAGGACACATGTTTGCGTACCAAAGTATAGTCCCTTTGACGTTTTTCGACTGCCTACGATCACTGATGATATTAGTGATTGTGGTGGACTGGATCGTGTGTCAGGAGCGAGAAGATAGGAATACGTTGAACCGATAAGAACGCTCTTGAAGATTTTGACTTTGCGGAAGGTTTACGTCTCATGTAGCACACACTGGAAGATTTAAAGGTGAAAACCAACAAGCTGGCCGAAGAATCAGTGATGACAGTGCTTCAGGTGAACAAAGAGAAAATGGAGGCACTGAAGACGCCTAACAAACAACAAGCATCAATCTCTGTTGGCGGAAAAAGATTGAAGGGGACCAACACTTTCCCCTAACTAAGTAACATTATTTCAGCTATGGGCGACATAGATGAGAGTGTTAGAGTAAGCCAAGAGTGGAAGGGCACGACAGATCTTCTTTGCACTGAAATCAGTGTGGAGAACCATTGCTTTAAGCATAAAAAACAAGATCCGAATTTCCAACACTGATTTCAAGTCTGTCAGTGATTCTATATGGTTTACAGACGGCGTGTCACTAAAAGAACTTCAAACATGCTTCAGAGATTTTTCAACAGCTGCCTTCGCTCCATACTGAAGAACAGACGGCCAGCCAGAAGGGGCTGGCGACAAAGAACTCTGGCAGATAATGAAGCAACCACTAACCTGCTGTCCAACAAATATGTCGAAGGAAATGGAGATGGCTTGGAGAAACGCTAAACAGATCATTAGGTGACATGATGCGCAAAGCAGGCCGTCGAGTAGAATGACGAGTTGAGTGTCAGAGGGTAAAGTGAACGAGATTGTGTGAGGAGTAGCTGAAAGTTTATGGTCAATCTTGGAGCCAGGTAAAGACGACTGCGGAAAACAGGATAAAATGGAGATGTGCTGGCATAGCCACATGTATTCTCAGAGCCCAAGGGAATAGTAATCATAAGCTTATGTAAATGATTTTGCAATAAATCAGTTACAACACTACACCCTTTGAGAAGAAAGAGAAACCCAATCCACTCCAAATCCCCAAGAATAAGAAAGATATGAACCAGTGATACATTTGATGGTGAAATGGGACGACTCAGACGAGTCCTCGTGGAAAATGGATATTCTTCAAGATTCATCGAGAAATATATGAAAGTAAAGCAAAGAGGTGATTTGGCGAAAAGGATCAAGTTGGCAGAAGAAGCATCAAAGATAGGACTTCTTTCAGGTGAACACAGAGAATACAGAGGTAATGAAGATTCCTGGACAAGAACAACAACAACAGACAACAATCAGCATAAATGGAAGGAACCTGAAAGAAACAACCTCTTATACCTACTGACCTGGGAAGCATCGTTTCAACTACAGGCGGAACTGACGAGGATATGAAAGCAAGAATCGGGAAAGCAAGACAAGATTTCACTACTCTCAAGTCTGTGTGGAGGTCAACAACACTCAGCATCAAAAATAAGATCCGGATTTTCAACTCCAATGTGAAGTCAGTGCTACTTACTACACGGATCAGAGACTTGCACTGCGCGCCATAAAGAGCATCTCAAACAAACTACACACCTTCATTAACAGTTGTCTTCGCTCAATACTCAGGATCAGATGGCCAGAAAAGATCAGCATCAGAGATCTCTAGGAGCGAGCCAACCAGGAACCGATTGTGAAACAAATAGGCAGGGAGAAATGGAGATGGATTGGCCATAATCTGAGGCAACAAGCCATCAAGTGACATCACTAGACAAGCCATTGCTCGAGTGGAACCCGAAAGGGAAGCGGCGAGTTGGTCGTCAGTGCGAGGGTGGGTGACTTGGAGGAGGTCATGTGAAGGGGAGATGAAAACGTGTGGGCAGACTTGGAGCCAGGTGAAGACTCTAGCAGAGAACCGAACGCAGTGGAGACGCATGGCGGAAGCCCTATGTTCCTCTAGGAATTAAAGCAAACAATAATAATAATAAAGCAAAGACCCGAAAGAACCCAGACAGTACCGAAGAAACTATTATTTATGAACGTTGAATTTAAAGGTGATACCACAGCTGAGATCTTGAAGAATCGCTTATGCAGATTTCTTTTCGGTTGACCTACGGATCAATTTCTACAGCTGACAAATGATCAGTGGATGTGTGAAGAATAAAATGCCGCTTTGAATCACTTCAATGTGTTTTTATAAATTCACCTGCTCGTGTGGAGCTAGTTATATTGGCCGTACAAAGCGTACACTTTCCAAACGCATCTCTGTACATTATCCGGCATGGTTAGCAAAAAGAAAATGCAAGACAATTACTAGCTCAATTCTAGAGCACTTCACTTGGTGAACTAAAGCCACGTAGTTCCACCAGAGTCGTTTTTCAAGATTATCTACAAGGTGAAGCCAAATCTTTTACAAAGAGCATCAGGTTTCGGCATTTGTGCATAGCGGAGGCTCTGTCAATTCGTCAATACAACCCCCAACTCTGTATACAGCAAAAGGTTTGTCCAGTCTCTTATTCTACCATGGTCTTAACCTCTTCACTAGTCGTTCCCTGGGGATTTTTTTATTAATAATGATTACTTTGCTTTTACTGTGATAATTAATTCACTATTGTCACTCTCATATGTTCCTTTTGTATACTTTCACACCCTCTTCACACTTATTAAATTGAAATTCAACTACCTTTCTTCTCACTCAATAATAATTTTTACCTTATCAAACTTCCTTTGTACGGTGTTGAGTATTACGTAATTTATAACTTTTATCTTTACTTTTGAAACCACTTCTGAGTAATTATATCAATTTTGTCACCCCACCCTATTACTCAATAACGGACCACTACACATTTTTGGTAAATATAAATACGACTGTACAGCTAGCCTGTGAAGATGTTTTTGTCGATAAAGAAAATTTTCTTCACTGGATTGTCTTTTATTTTCTTCATGACTCAATTGGTATTTTCGGTGATTTGAAACAGATTAAACTGAATTTATAGTTTGTGTTTCCCTTCCTTTTTCATATTCGGATGTCAAACAGTGTAGGCTATATGGCATAAATCTGAATAAATTTTTTTATCAAATTATGATAAATCTTCTGAACACAGTTTTCAATCCTCAGAGGCATATATTATGTTGACATGATAAAGTCTTTTGATTTGTACATCTCACCGTATAACTATCTGCTGGTTATACAGTCTGTGATTCATCATACTTATGACTTCAAGAGAATTTCAACCATAAAAATTCAAATGTGATAAATTTCCTTTTAGTTTACTCTTCATCGTCAATACTTATAGGTCTGTCTGTCTGTTTTCAACATAAAACATTGCACCGATGTGCAGCAGTTCAAGTCGCCACACTCCATGTAGCTCACAAAGCAAGAGAAGAAAGTAAAAAGAAATGCAAAATAGAGACAGTAAACAGGGATATGAGACAAAAGGAGTAGTAATAACGAAGAGCAATATAGTTTCGTTGGGTATTATAATACACAAGGAGTGGATGTATCTTAGCCATCACTGAGAACGATTTTGAGCCATATCACCAATTGTTTCCAGCCATTGGTTTTTACCGTCCCCAGGACCCCAACCAGACAGCGATCTACACATTCCTACGTGGCTTAAACTAACTGTGGTGGATTTCATTGACTGATGAGGTCATGTTTTGGTTTGACCACCGCTGGCTCTCTCCTCTCCAACCTCATCCTATGTCAGCTAACATTCCCCGTCAAGGAAGGCGATGGCTAGAGATGCATACGTAACACATGTCCTAACCATCTCAGTCGATGTAGCTTCACAGCCTCGTCGATTGATTTTCCCTCCTTACCTAGCAATCGATGCCTAACATCAATGTTGCTCACCCTACTATACCACTTCACACGGGAGATAAAACGCAGGCACGTATGATCAAAGACAGCTAGCCAGCCTTTTCATGTCTTCCACTCTCAATGGCCATGTCTCACAGCCATAAAGGAGGACGCAGCGGACTGCTGAGCAGTACACACGGCCTTTGGTTGACAGCCAGCCGGATATCACGTCTACGTCACAGATGGCGTAAACTGGCATATGCGAAACTAGCTTTCTGTATCCGTGCTGAGATTTCTTTGGCGATCAACCTGTTGGGTAATTTACCAGTGAACAACAGGAATGGAAAAATTAATCTGGGTTTCGTTACAGGATTTTCATCATGAGCTGACATTAGTTAGGGAACCATTGGAAAACCTGGGAGTACTGGACAGCTGTTTCGTCCTAGTTTGGCACTCTTCATCAGGATACACCCACCGGGACTCGAACCCAGGACCTTCTGGTTTAGAAGGCGAGCTCGTATACCATTAGGCCACTGGGATCAGATCCAGTGGCCCATGAATTCTAACTTCTGCCAATTCACGACATAGCGCGACCCCTAGTCAATGTTTTCGGCGAGTATTTGTCCTCACGCCCGACCTGCTGCACCCTACTGGTCACGACTTCCCACTAGAACCCCAGGCAACTACCTACCTGAATAGGGCAAGTCACTAGTGAGCATCTCATTGATATTCAAGTTTTGGTTTGTAGGTTCTCCAATGGTTCTCTAACTAATGTCAGCTCATGATGAAAATCCTGTAACCAATCAAATCCCTACAAACCAAAAGTACAAATCATTTAAGTTTATTCTACAGATAAAGGAACGAAATAATGACCACTCAAAGTATAGGGTACTTTATCTTATGGTAACTATTTATTTTAATCAATTTGTAGGTGGAAATGAAA